GATTTAGGCAAGCAATGATACTTTTGCCCTGTGGATCAGGACTAAGCAAGACCATAGCTAGTTAATAAAATTTCACTAGGAACCTGTAAATACAACCATTAGATATCAAGTTTACATGTCACCAGTGCTAGTGGTAGAGGCAGAATGAAAATTAATGACTAATGGACCAGAACTTAAAAAAGGTACTGAAGCATCTTATTGTACGATATCACCATGGCAGCTGGATACATTTATAGATGAAATACATTTGGAGTGGCAACCCAACAATGGCCTGATACAAAATGTCATCTTACAGTGGAGCATATTTGATTCTTCTGAGAAAAAACATCCCCAAGGAAGCTAAGGGATTTCTCAACTTCTTTGTATTCACGGTATCACTTCCCTATGCCTATAAGTCAGAGTAGGTTTCCCTTTAAACTTCTCACAACTATAAGAAAAAATATTATTTTAGTGCTTGGGCTTAACTCTTGCTCAAAGTCACTTATAACCTGCATTCACTGTACAAAGAGCCATCTCCGGTCTTGGCATAATGCTGGGTGGTTATTGGAAAATGTGAAATGTTTTCACTGATTGTAAGCAAAGAACATTCCTATGAAGAGAGGCACTTGGCTTTACAATTTTGGGACTCTCTAGTGAAAACCATGTCACTGCAGCATCTAAGCTATTCCTACCTCATCTTTCTTTAAGGTTGCTGTTAGAAATACTAGGATGTTGTCAAATTGTTTATATGCATTATAGAAGAGACCATTTTTAGTGTATTGAAGTACAGTAAGGATTGGTGTTAAATCCATTTTATACTTTGCATGCTGTGTACATTTGGAATTTCAGGTTTCTCAGATCGGTGTATAGTGCCTGACATTAGAATAGCTTTCATTAAAAGGCTTCCATATAATATGAGAGAGATTTTGAAATGTGTTACTAATTATTTATAATTTATCATTTACCTTGTTAGTGCTTTACAAACATTAACTATTTTTCATAACACCTATGTGAAACAGGTCATATAAATTTTATTAGGCTCAATCCTGCTCCAGTTGAAGGCAAGGATAATTTTGCCATTGATTTCAATGAGGGTAAGAAATGGACCCACTGACATCATTTTACAGATAAGAAAACTGAGCCAAAGAGAAGTGACTTCCTCAAGAGCACAGAAAGATTCAGTGTCAGTTATGAATTTACAGCTCAGCCATTGCTGCCTCCTAATCTTGCTTACTTCACACTACTAAACCCTAGTATGCTTTTAAATGTAGATCTTATCAAATGGTACTTGAAGGGATGCTGATCACAACTCAACATACTCACTCAACTACTGTCTACACTCTCTTTAAGATTTTATTTGTTTTAATGTTTTTATTTGGAAATAGTTGGATGCATCAGTATGGTTAGTTACCAGTTTAAAAAAAATATTTGAACTCTTAATCTCTACCTCCCAATGTGTGCTGGTTAAGGACACAGACCAAATTCTGCTGTCAGTTACACTGGTGTAAGTGAGAGCAGAATATGGCCATCACCATTATATATAGCAGTTTTTACTTGGGTCAGATTCCACTCTCAGATAGCTGTGTACAGCTCCTATTGAAGATAATTTGATTTTTGTAAGTTTAGCCCCAGGGCAGAATTTGGCTCTCACTCATTTTAAGGGCTCATGCCCTCAACAGAGTTTACTCAGTGGCAGAGGCGGGGTAAATCCCCATGACTTCCAGTGAGCACTTTGGGTGATAAAATTTAGGAACAATTAAAATTAAACTAACCCCCCCCCCCCCCCCAAAAAAAAGAAGAATTACCCACTGCCAAAACTTAAAGCTAATGAGCTGCAAAGGAAGATTATCACAGAAGAGAAGAACAGTCTAGAGAGGTAACACACAAAGAAATTCAATTTTAAAGTTGGCTACTGCAGGTCAGTTCACCATATAAAAGAGTATATGGAGCCAGGATAAATTCCTAATTACTCTTTCCAAACTTGTAATTGGCAGAGTGGTTGTGAATGAGTCCACTTCCTAACATGGAATATTCACTCACTCTAGAGGTGGAGGGAGAGGTGTCAAGACAGCAGAAAATGACTAGCATGGCTTTTTACATCTCCATGTTTACAGCCAGCAGCTCTGTGCCCACCATTCCTTCCCTAAAATGTGATTTTTTTTTTTACACCAAGTGAAGATTGAAAGGGTTTTATTTAACATTCCAAACATCTGCTTTTTTTTATCTCTTCTGGATTGTGTTCATAGACCTGTCATGGTCAAAAATTTATGGAAAAATCCTGCAGAAACTAAAGGATGAAACCACCAAGATTCTATAGAACTAATTATAAAACCTATTGCATAATTTGTGTTAATTGGAACAGATTTGATTTTAAAGGGACACTGAAATATGTTCAGTCCCAAATGTTATAAACCATGTCATATACCAGTAGGTTCTTATTCAGTTAATGAGCGCCCCTTTCCTTGGTTTAGTTTTAATATCTTTGGGCTTAGAGTAATAAAAAACCTGTTACTCTTGGTTTAAGTTTCAAACAAAGCTGTGCAGAAGAGCTATAACTGCAGTGTTTAAAACCAGAATTATGGACAGAGGTATCCAGGAAAGCTTTCGTTATTAGAAAGTTCCTCTTTTAAAATACTGCATGTAGAATTTGGAGCCAAGTGTATACCAAACCAAAGTTACTGCTGCTTCTGCTTTATTTTTAAACTAATATACATCTTTTATTTACTTCATTTGCATTCACCAAAAAATAATTTCTCCCACACCAAACACTGCATTTTCAAAATGCAAAAGGTCATGGATATAGGTACACTTCCTCCTGAAAAAGTTGTAGGCATATAAACATGAAGCTGATTTCACCACATTGCCTGTCTGATTTTCTTGCTGTTGATCCTGAATAAACTGTATGGAACAAGTTGCTAACGGCTTGCTCGTGAAAAGTTTCTTTTCATTACTACTATGAACTCTTGCTTTCTGACCACGCCCTACCTTGCAATAACTTTTGTTTAAACACAACAGCAGCACAACTTTGTTTATATTAACAACAGATGCAGTATTTACAAGAAATAAAAAGCAGGACAAAGAAGACATGGATTCAGTCATTTAGGAACATTTTTGTCTTAAAAAATGAAACTATTGCCCAAATCTACTTTTCTTTTCAGTACACAATTTTAGATCTCTTCCAGGTGTCTATTTTAAAGATTCATAAATTAGTCAACTTCTACTACCTCCAATGTAGTACAAGCTCCTGAAATTAAAGATTTGTCTCTTATTTTCCTTCAGAAAAGAAACACAAAGCTAACTAATTTAATTTCGTTCTCTGTAGTTACATCTGCATTTTTCCTACACCTCTACTCCCCAGGGACCAAAGGTGTAATTTCCACAGATGCCTTAGCATAGCACTGTCAAGTGTGGTGATAATCAGTGATGTTATAAAAGACACAATGACCAAAACACATTTGAGAGAGACACAGCACAAATTTCACACACTCACACACATCTGTGTTCAAATGTACTCCCTCTACTTCATCACCACAGTATCACATTTAACAGAATGAAAGGGCATCAAAGAACTCTATTTTGAAATGGCATTTTACACATTTTACATATTCATTGTACTGAAAAGCAATTTACATAGTATACTATTTCTGCATAAACTTACTCCTTTCTCACAATGAAAGTAAATTAAGAGGCAAATGCAAATAAAATCAAGACACCTTTCCGCAAAGGACCCTTATTCAAGCTGTCACATCTTGAGTCAGCCCGGTACTCTCTCACAGACCACAAAGATGGTGAAATGTACTCAGGGGAAGGCCTGCTCCGTCTCCAAGAGGAGTTTAACTTTAAGAACTCACAGCTGTAAAAAAGGGGACTGAATTGCTTGCAAGGATTCCAGACCCTACCACTGACAACTACATAGATCAGTGATGTCATGAAGCTAATAAGTGCAAGGCAAAGAGAGTCATTAGGAAATAGTTTGAAAATAACTTGGATGAACTTTATTACATTTCAAGCATGGTCAGATGGATGGTTATTGTTATTTACATCACAGTGACTAGAGGCCACAACTGAGTTCAGGGGCCCTGTTTTGCTAGGCATCATACATACATATGTACATAGAATAAAAGTCTCTGCCCCCACAGGATTTACAATCTAAATAGTCAAGACAAAGGAAGTAAAGCAAAGAGATTAAGTGATTTATACAGGTCTAAGGTAAGACAGCAAGTCTGTCTAGGGTACAGCAGGTCTATTGTTACCTTTGTCCTCCAGAATAGCCTCCTTCATGCTTGCTTAGATCTGGTTAAAAAGTGGCCTGTGACCTTGCAAGTCCTTTTGGATTCTTTCTTTGAAGTGTCTCACATGTTAGATTCAAAAGTCTTGTGACCTCCTAAGTACATTCAAATCCTTCACATTCAAGCATCTCCCCTGCACTTTCAAAACCAAACCAATATGATGCCACAAGTTCTACTAACCATCTGACATAATACACACTGTAACATATGTTCTTTTACATGCAAAAAAAGCTACATTAAAAACAACATTAAGGTGCAAAATCAGGCACTCAAAAGTTAGGAAATACCAGAATTACGATTGCCGGTATAACCTTAATTCAACCTCCTTGTGTGTATGCATTATGATATAGTCTTATAATTATATCTTCTTCTTAGCATATGCAAAACATGCCTCTGTTGGCACATGACCAGGATTTATCACTGAATTTGGTCCACTGGTTGGATCATTAGCTTTCTTGGTTCAGGCCGGGTACTGATAGGGAGTGCAACGTGAATGCTGATCCATGCCCTACTTTAATTATATAGAATCATAGGACTGGAGGGAACCTCAAGATGTCTTCTAGTCCAGTCCTCTGCACTCAACACAGGACTAAGTATTATAGACCATAGTGTCTCATATATTGTAGATTGGATCAAGGTCTCAGGAAAGGCAGAGCAGACATGATCATATGATCACACACACACAATTTGTTCTGGTACAGCAACTGCATAAAGACTGCTTTAATTTCTCACCTGTGAGTTGACCAGAGCAGCATAGGTACATGGTCCACAGACAGAGCCAATTGGAGCAGCACAGCGAGGGAGTAGAACAGCCAGACTAGGGCCATGATCCCACTTGGGTTAGTATATGACTGACTAGCTGCAAAGTAAAAAACTGAACATAAGATGAAGGAAGCTGGATTTCCCAGTTTAATCTGCAGTATCTGGATACAACTAGGAAACTGGTTGGGGCTGTTTTATGTCAACAATATAAACATTCAAAACATCCATTTCATTAAGTCAAACAACAGTGCTAGAATTTTTGAATAACTTTCAGTGAGGCAGTGCAAAAGGCCCATGAAGTGTATATACCTTGAATTCATACACAGACCTCTTAACCGATCGTTCCCCAGTACAGTGCTCATGAGGCTCAAATTTATTCCAGACCCCACTGACTTCTCACTCACTATTACTGTAATTTATTGACAACTGAATTATTAAACCCTGAAATGGAGTTTATAGAAAACGTTCTTCATGTTGAAGAAAAAGAATCCCATATATTTCCATTGTTTTCCCTCTACTATTTATTACCATGTCCGAAAGCTTTACACTGATTGTAGAAGTTGGTGTCACACATGGGTGTTGGCAGGTTTGAAAGCTACAGTATATGTGGACATTGCAGCTACCAGCAAGGAAAAAGAGAGTAAGAGAGTGATGAGATTGGAACTTAACTAAAATGTGGAATTGTTTAATTATCCTTTACTGGGGAAGATGCTGACCCATAAATCAAGAATCGCAAAAGTCAAACGAAATTACAATGTTCTCAAACCTGGTGTGACTTAAATACCTTAAAAACCAAATAGAAGATTAGAATGGTTATAGGAATTTCTTTTACCCATCATCACAAGCCTCTGGTTTCTTTCTTTTTTAAATGCTGCCCTGCCCCCTTCAGTGACAGAGCTGCAGCCAAGTCATGCTTCTGCATTTGAGAGTCACCTTGTTAGGTCGTATCATGTGCACTATAGGCATGCATGGGACTTTCCAATCAGAATAAAAGATGTAGTCCCAGCCTTTAGCAGGTTATGAATGCAATTATGTCAAGGACCCAACAGAAAAAGACAACAGACCATGGAGAGCAGCAATGGGGAAAGGGCAGGGGACAAGTTATCGGTAAATGCAAGAAGGAGGGAGGAGGGCAATTTTTGCCATGCAGAGCAGATCATGGGGCTGAGTAGTTGTGAAAGCTCATTCTGGGTTATTTTGGTGGTTTAAACATTCATTTAATATTCACTTTAACAATTTGAAATTCTGGATTTGGTGGATTATTGATGAAAGGCTTCCAAGAAGAAGAGGGTTGAATGGCAGGTTGGAGGGAGAGAGAAGCAGGAGGAGTAATAGGCCCCAAGCATAAGAAACAGCACAAAGAAGGTGGGAGAGTGATTCTGGGGCAAACTATTGGGAAGAGGAAGGGAAACTTGAGTGAAGTGAAGTGAATAAAGGTCAGTCAGAATGTGAGCTGAAGTTGTACAGAGCTCTAAAGGTAAGCCCCGGTGTCTTGAATTCATGTGACTCACTCGATTTAGTGTACTGTTTATTGTTGCACAGTTTATGTATAATGTAAGGCAATTTGTTCATATGCTAATGTAAACTCAGCTGTGATACAAGAGGAAAGCTACATTTAAAAAAACAGCAATCTTCCTCTTTTCTTACACTTTACGCCCTCTTACTTTGGTCTTTTATGCCTTTATCAGCCCCCACCCCCACCCCGGGCCCAGGCAGCTTTTACCACCTTCCATTTCCTGACGTGCTGGGTTGGCTGTGAATTATAACAACAGAACAGTGCAGGTCAGTGTAAGACAGAGCAAGTGAGCCAATGCAAGACTAAATGGGAGAGAGGGAAGAACTGGAGCCTCCAGAGAAGAATTTAGTACAAGCTCAAGAAGCTGAGTCAGAGCAAGCGAAGTACTCAGTCGTCTCTAGGAATGGACAACCTCTTGCTGGTTATGACTAGGCTGAGCAAATAATGTATTTTTCGGTTCATTGGGCCAAACTGAAATATCTGAAAATATTCCAGTTTGATTTGAACCACAATCTATTTTTCTTGAAACAAAAACTTGAAAAAATCTCCTTTCAAGGCAATTCAATGTTTTGAGTCAACTGAAAACAATTTTTTTAACTTTTTGTATTGATTCGGACATTTTGAATGTTTTTCACTCTTTTTTTAATTAGCCAGATGTCAACTTGAAATGCTATTCTGAAAGTTGAAACAAAATATTGTGACTTTTTATGAACAAAACTGTTGCAATGAAATGTTTTGATTTTTTGAAAAGATTTCCCCCTCTCCTCCCCAACTGAAACCTTTTGCCTCATTCAACATGAATTTGATGAATAGGATTAGGGACCTGAAAAATGCTTTTTTTAATTAAAACACTATTTTTCAGACAAACAAACAAACAAACAAACAAACAAACAAACCACTCAGCTCTCAAGCACTCTTCATTGGCCTACATAGCTATGACTTTGATTTGCCCACGGCAGGTCTAGAATGTTCCTGGATTGTGCATGCATGTGCCTACTGCTCAAAAAGTTACTGAAATCTAAAAAAAAATGGCCTAGATTACACCTATTCTGCAGCTAGAGCACAAGAAGAAAGGCAGAAAGACTTATAATCAGAGAATACATGATGGAGTGATGTTAAGGGTACAAAATGTTATTAGTAAGAGTTCAGGATGTTATCTTTGGGACCTACTTAGAGTCCCTTATTGTTGCAGGTGAAATGCAAGAAGAATAGGCAGAATTCTTTCAATTTTAGCAATACGTGCAGAATGTCCTGAAGGGTCAGTCCAGGAGGAACAGTCAGCATATTATTACATTGAAGCTTCTTGGATTCTATCACACCCATTCCTTCTTGGATTGGGAGCTCATGTTCAGATGTGACACCATTGGTTTTCACTGTGTAGGCAACAAACTCTTTGCAAAACTGCATAACAGGAAAAAAAATAAAAGAAAATGTCATGTACCTAGACCCCTTTTTATCTGTGTATCAAAAGCTAGCTCCACATCAGAGCAGCACTCTGCAATCTGAAAAGGGCTGGACTTTTGCAAGCGAGGCAGAACAATAATAAATGTAAACAAATAATGGGTTGAATTCCCATCTTAACCTACAAGTCACAGTTTCTGTGCAGTTTCTGTGATGAGTCCTTACGCCAAACAGAAGAGAGAGAAGAAATCATTGAGATAAGGTGTAAAGGCACTTAGGCTTGCTGCCTAAAACATTTCTGATCTGGGTGGGTCATAAAAGGAAAGGAGAAACTAGTACAATGGAGGGAATCATAGGGGATTTCCCCAACAGAAACTGGGGCGAGAGAGTTTGCACAAAAGATGACTTACTAAGACTGAACTAGAATGTGAGGATTGCTCATTGGTTCACTTATCTGGCTATAAGGTGCACAGATAGGAGCCTAAATGTCTAGATTGATGCTATCTAATAAGAAAATGTATATTTTACAGCTATATTTTCCCTGGATACTTCCTGATTTGCATATAAACTAAACCCCATATTTAGACACCTCTGAACATTGGGGTGTTTGAAATTCAGCACGAATTCCAAATTTTGTGACTCAGACTAATCTGTTTTTAAGTGTTATTACAGTTTTATATAATGAAGAAAGAGGACAAAATGTTACCCTCGTCAGCTCTCTAGCTACAATTTGTTTATTACTTGAAAAGAATATAAAGGCTCATTTCCCAAGACCATATTTAATTTCTACTCATGGATCCACCCCCACCCATTTCCCCAGATTTATACGTTTTCTTTTTCAATCCTGTGCAGAGTCTGTAACCCACCTATCTCAACCCACCTGTCTCAACCTAGGCTCAAATGGAGGACACAACAAAAATAGTAATCAAGGTAGACTGAAGTCATGTGGGCTTAATTTCTTTTGCATCTAAATCCTTCTTTTAAAAAAAAACCCATCTATTTTATAATTCTCCATTCCTGATGTAAATAATTCTGAACAGAAAAAGTGTGAATGCCAGATTTGTGTGGGTTGAAGTTAAATTTAGGACCCTACGTTAGGAAGAGAGGGATGTCTTTTGTAAAGAAGGACAATTTATGGGTATGATAAGCTAACATTTGTGAACGGAATGTCTATAGACAGGGAAAAAAAGACGGTCATCAATTATGTGTGAATGTGACCCAAGAAAGAGATTCAGAAGCTGACATATCAATGGTGGCACTGCATATTAAGAGATCCATCAGCAACCTGGGATAATGAAAGCAGATGTGTTTATTCTGGGCTTTGTTTTTAAAAAATGAGTAAGAGATTGCAATTCTTATCCCAGCTGTTACTGTATTTCCCTTTGAAGAAAGTGTCTGCTGGGTACCAAATGTTGGTTACCAATAACTTTGCTACCATCAACTATTTAATCTGTATTCCTATTTTATCATTGTATTTACAACTACCTTTTGGCACAAGCTGGGAATGCGTGTTTCCTTAATTGGTACTGAGCCTGTGGGAGGCAGGGAAAAAGGTTACTTGGAGACTCTTTGTTCCTCATCCTCTGAGATGTAATTGGAGGGTAATGAAGAGGTAAATCTCTGTAAGAGCACACAGCCTTCTGTTGCAAAGAGGGAGAGTCAGAAAGCATAGACTCCTTGCCAAGTTAACTGATCACCCACTTAACCATGTGGGAGGAAAATTGGAGCTTTTCCCTTTGGAAGTGGATTGAGCTGTGGTGCTTGATGGTGCGGTGAGGGGTATTACTACCAAAGAAGCCCTGTCTGGAGAGAAAGGTCCACCTTGCTGAGCCCCAGGTGCTGAAGAGGACTGACCCGCTCTTGTGGACGGCCTCTGGTGGGAGGGAGGGAGGGAGGGGAACAAAGGCCCCCACATGCCATCCAGACTCTGAGCCCCTTCCCATGTCAAAATAAGCACCTGTGGGCTGGAAGCAATTGCGGCAGACCCTGGGGTTCATGGTTAAAGTCCTCCTTAGAAATCTCATCTTATTTTCGGAAACTCCTTCTAAAGCAGATAGGGAAGTTTTGACCATATGTGTGTTAAACCTATATGTTTTCTCGAGGGAGACAAATTTATCAATCTGTTTTGCTTTCTTGAACATTTCTTTTTTATCTGGGCTCTGAGGTAAGGTGTACGCATC